ACAGCTGGTGCTGCCATTTCAGTGCTAATAGCTAGCATTCAACAATTCTAGCACTGCCCAACCACGTACTTATTTACAGCTGAGTAGACTGGAACAAGCGGAGTAAAGTATCTTGCTCAAAGATACAACACAGTGCCGTGCCGTGACTCGAACCTGCAACCCTTTGGTGACGAGCCCGGCGTCTTACCTCTAGACTACCGTGCCCTATTATCTATGGTAATAGGGCATATCCAAAACATTTACATTTATTTAGCCTTTGATTTTTGTACACATGTTTTAAAGGTAATTTAGCAGTGAAACATGGGAAACTTTCATCTTATTTTTTATCTTGCCAATCTGATTACATTAAGAAACATAACTATGTAATGAATTTTGAATGGCGATATGTTATAACATGTGTTTTTGGAAACAATAACTTAAGGATCTAACAGGTTCAATAAGAATTTTTGAAAAGAGACATTTGCTTCAGATGAAAAATTAACCCCCACCCCCGCCAACACCAACCCACTCCTTCCCAACTGATTCATAATCTTGGTGCACATTGGTTATCAAATTTTAAAAATATTCATGGTGAAACCGATATTTTATAGTGTTCATTAAAAACGTATTTAATCATATTGGTTTTTAAATTGTAAAAAATATTCATCTGATAAAAATAAGGACCCGTCTTTGACAGGATTCAAACTCAGTTCAGAGGACTTGTGATTGTTATGAGACACGACGTAATGTGGTCATTCTCCAACTCATGTACACATGTTGAACGGAAGGTCCACGTGCTGAGAATGGATTATGATTCTGACAGTATCCTAAGTCAGATATTGGATTTGTATGAGGGTTAAATTTACCAAAGTACTGGATACATGGATACTAGTACTGCTGACATGGATATTAGCTTCAGCTCAGGTAAACGTCGAAAGAAATCAATATGATATGTGATATTGTCATCCCTTTGTTTTCATTTTATTATTTCACATACTGTAAATAATAATAGCTGCTATTATTTGCTTAAAAATCTGTAAAAATTACAGCATCTGTCCGATCACCATGGGCACAGAATAATAGTTTGGGTATAAATGTACGGACCTCGTACAAGTTTGTACTCTTATTCACAGGGAGATTCATCAGCTGTTAAAAGTGATTTTCTACATTCTTTTTTCCCTGGATCAAAACAGTTGAATTAAACAATGTATTCACTTCCATTTGATGAAATCCTCGGATTACAATCCTCTGCCTTTGGTTATTTCATTGATTGCAATTTGATTGTAAGGATAATGCTGAATAGGAAAATATTTTGATTTCTTTTATTATTTATATTTTTGATAAATTACATGAATTGATGGTTCTGAGTGAAAACAGATCAAATATCTTTGAGACTGAAGCAGCGCTGTCGGTGTTAGCTCCAGTGACACCAATTTTTTGCTATTAAGCATTTAAACCACATATGATGGTGACATTGGAAACAATGAAAAAAATGAAACTTATTATTATAATAAAAATACACACTATTGTTTTGTGTTCTTTTGAATTTTATGTTCAGTTTTTATACAGTGGTGAAGTGTGGAGTCTGTTAACGTTACGTCATCTATTTATTCATGCCTTCGTATTAGTAATGCCCACTTACATTCAGTGAAATGAAAGGCCCATTGTGTTAATAAACGGTAATGCCCAGTTTTGGGCATCACACAAAAGGCTATTGTGTTAATACCTGGTATATATAATCTTATAAGTATTTACTTCCCTAAGAATGGTTAGTGTCCACAGGTATGTGACACAATAGTACAATAACATTAATTGATCTATAGAGCAGATAATAAAGAGCTTTAAAGGTAAGAACCTAGCTGTCAATACAATTATTTTAGGGCTTATCTTATTTATCATACATCAAAACTTCTAAAACCTACAGTAAATGTCAATGAGTTGTACATCCCAAAGCTAATTTCGAAGTCTGTTGATAAATAATTCTTACATTACAATTTCCAAAACAAGAAATAACTCAAAAACACCAAATATTGCATACTTTTACACTGTGATACATTGTATATACTGTTGTAACAGGAGAGGAAAAATGCATGGCCAGTCCAGATGCCTTGAACTGATCTGTAATTACCTCACAATAATGTGTGATTAGATGCCATGAATAGGATATCTTACAATATGCGATTAGAAAACCCAAAAAAAACATTAAAATCAACCACGGCTGGAAATGATGAAACCTATAGCAGGTATTTAAGAAATCTAAATATCAACTTGAGAAAATGTGCAGTACAATAACATTTTCTGTTTTTCTTTTTGTATATAAAACAATAGTAAGACCAAAGTTACAGAGCATGGTCAGCAGGATATCATCATAGAGGAGAAAGGGGTAAAGGAGCTGCTCAGTGATGAGGAGAAAGGGGTAAAGGAGCTGCTCAGTGATGAGGAGAAAGGGGTAACGGAGCTGCTCAGTGATGAGGAGAAAGGGGTAAAGGAGCTGTTCAGTGATGAGGAGAAAGGGGTAAAGGAGCTGCTCAGTGATGAGGAGAAAGGGGTAAAGGAGCTGCTTAGTGATAACAAGACCAAAATGGCAAGTAGATAACATTCCAGCAAGAATACTTAAAGATCTCACTGAGGAAATATTACCATCCCTGACAATGATCTTTAATAACTGCTTAAAGACTGGATCTGTACCAACAGGATGAAAAGTGCATGTCACAGAAGTCTTTCAGAAGGAAGAGCAAGTATATGTAGCTATCGACCTGTTTCTCTACCATCCATATGCAGGAATATTCAGGAACAAATCGTTGTGTCTTACATCATGAAACATCTCGACAAACACAGCATCCCGATTGTCAGCATGGATTCAGGGCCAGAAACTGTGAGTCCCAGCCCCTTACCCTCGCTATGATCTTGCAGGCAAGTTTGATCTGGGCCTGCAGATAGATCTCATTATATTATGAGACGGATTATTTCAAAGCATTGGACTAGGTGCCACACCAACACTTGTTGAGGAATACGGTAACAGGGGCCAACACTATCCTGGATGAGAAGCTTTCTGCAAGGACAGACTTGACGGGTCATGGTAGAAGGAACATTATCTTAAAAAGTCACAGTTGCAGTATTGCGGTAAAATCTGTGTCAGACTTCTTCTTTTCCTCCTTTTCATTATTGACCTTCCAAACAACATCACATCTGACGTAGGATTTCTTTTCAGATGGCTGTGTTGTTTACAGGACATTGAGAGAAAAACTTCAAGAAGACAGCGATCAACTGTGACAAGACATGGCAGAACAGGCTGACTAAGACCAAAAGTGGAAAATGGAGCAATCTCATTATCTGATTAAAATCATCTGTTAAATGGCGTAGTGCGTATACAAAGTTAACAGAGCCATGTAACAGGTGATTTTTTTAATCAGATTGAGAATGGAGTAGTGTCCTAAGGGTTACAAAGAATAGGAAGATCTCAAGGCCCCAGTACCATCGATCATAAAGGCCAATTACTCAAAGATACTGTATACATTCCTGCAAATATCTTGGGGTGGATCTCTCAAACATATCTCTCATGAAAACGTCACATCATTTGAGTATGTAAGAAGGCAAATATCACCCTTGGACTCCTTATGAGGAATCTTAAAAGATTTCAAACAAGGATACCAAGGCCCGTACATATTTTGCACTCATTCACCCTAAATTAGAGACCAAGTTTTGCTCATCTCTCTTTGAAGACCCCTATCAAGAATCAGACTGACCAGCAGGAAATGGTTCAAAGAAGAGCTGCTCATTACACCGCACACATAACGTAACACAAACACTGATTCTGACATTATGCAGTCCCTACAATAGCAGTCATTGAATTCCAGATGCCTCAAGATCCAGTTAACGATTGCCCATGATTTATAAAATATGGAACCCCAGGACTATCTGAAAACCTCTACATTTTTCATTCGATGTAATCACTCCTTTAAATATTGCTGACTCTCTTCCTTAAAAACCCTTTCCCATCAATCAAGGGACACCTAAAACTGGAATTCCCTCCTAGATGCTATGACTAATATAAGGTCCCTGACTTGGCACCTTTCAAGCAGGGTCTATTTTCTCTCTCCTTTTCAAAACACATCCAGACTGGCTTTCCATCTGCCCAATGACAAGAGCTGTACTGGTCGAGCTGGTCCTCAGGGGCCCCTACAGTAGCTAGATTTGTTAAAGGAGGGAGGAATGTAGCGGAACTGGACTGCATGGGTAGATCAAGGGCAACCAGGTAGCTCAAATGGTTAAAGCATCTGTCTACAATTTGGAGGGTCCTGGGTTCGAACCACCGGCCTGGTTGTTGCATTTCTCTTTCTCCTGTTACAACTACATTCTTTCAACAGAACAGTGGTAGATGTAGATGGAGTGATAGGATGTCTATTCCTAGTATTACAAAACAACTGTACCAATTATCACTTTGTAACACCTATCGTCGTTGGCATCTTTTTTATTGATAGAATAAGTATGAGGATTTATTGAGCGACGTTTTACATGTGTAACAGGAAAGAGAGTAATGTGCTTCCAACAGGGATCAAACCAACGATCTCTGACTTCCAAGTCGAATGCTCTACCACTGAGCTAAAGGGTATTCCCTCTAGTGCGAAGCTAGGTGACCGTAATCATGTACAATTAAAATCTGCCACACTACTCACCCCTTTTTAAATGTGTTTGCCATCGAATACCAAAACAACCCAGGTTATGAATCTCTGTTACCATAAGTAGGGCCACAGACACCATTTGTAACAGTAAGCTTACTGACCCTAAACGTCACTATGCAATATTTAACCTAATTGATATGAATAAAGTTAGTAATATTATTTTTAAAAAACCTTGATCGAGTGTTTATTCGACCAAACCATCAATGGAACATTTATTTAAAAACCATGTGTATAAAAATCACAATTACGGTACAGTAGCTCCACGTTATCTCATGATCAGCATCATCAACCACAGACGTTTGCATAAAGACAGTGCCAAAAAGACCAAAACTTTCTTACCTTGTTTCCAATTTTGCCATCACGGAAATCTTTATCAAAACTAAACATATAAAACATTGCAAATTGTAAAAACACTATTGTTATCGCGCAAATGGATAATTTTTTATATTTAAAGCATCGCCGGCAAATGTGTCGAGCCATCTTCCTCCGGTAACAGTCATCCGGCAATATGCTGTATCAAGCAAGTTTTTCACGTTGGAGTGTGGAAGGAAATTGCCGAGGGTGTCCGATCAACACACAGGGGAGCGTTCGATTGCAACCACACTCTCTTAGCTCTTTTTGGTTAGTTACCTCCCTTATACAACAGGCACAACGTGGTACCCATAGCTGAGTCATCATATATTCCTACAAGATTCATGCCCAGTTGATGAGCGTTTATCTCACCAAATTATCAGAATTCAAATACTTTGTTTTGTATTTAAAGTAAAAAGAATCTTAAGAATCTTACAGGGAATTTTGATGCTTGAAAAAATGTTAAAAAATGGAGGGTACTGTACTGAAAAACTTTTAAAATAAAACTATATTCATATAAAATCAAAGCAATTCTTGGTTTACACCACATATAAGGATGCCACAGTTTTGGTTTGAATACAGAATTCGTTTGCGAACTTAGTGAAAACATATTCATATATCCTTTCATTCAAAATGGTTTGGTATACCACGGAAGATATATAAATCCAAGAAGGTTAATTATATACGTCAACTCTGACTTATCAATGTCGTTTCGTTGTACTTATTTACAACTTCGATCATTTTCACTTTGCTTTTATTTGTATGAAAAGTGGAAAAGAAAAAAATCAGGTTTTAGAAGAAGACGTGCAATTCTATGAACCCATATTTTTAACTGTCTTTATTAAACATATATTCAAAAAGCGTCTACCAGCAATTCTTGGTTTACACCACATATAAGGATGCCACAGTTTTGGTTTGAATACATAATTTCGTTTGTGAACTTAGTGAAAACATATTCATATATCCTTTCATTTAAAATAGTTTGGTATCCCACGAAAGATATATAAATCCGTGGCTTTTAACTTATGGTCCCATGGGGGTAATTCCCCATATTTTTTCTATTGCTATAAGGATATTTAGGCCAATGTTAAAAATACTTTGTGATGTACAGCTATAAGAATGAACATTTATCTATGAAGGGATATATTTATTTCCATTGTGTCTGTAGGTGCAGACCCTATTATATAAAGCAAATTAATCTTGTGATTTTTACACATAAGTCTACTAAAACCCTCGACAGTTTCAGTTTTGATACTAGAACGTGTTTATGTTTCATAAGAGTTGTTTCCCTTGAACCAATATATGTATGATTTATGGTACCAATATGTATACTACGAAATGTCCCAAGCTAATTTTTAATATTAGCTATTCGTTTATTATTAACTATAACTATATGACTATAACACTATTCTGGTTATGCCAGTAAAGTGTAGTTGATACCGAATAAATTTCATGAATTTATTGACATGAGTTGTGTCCCTTTACTGAAGTTTTCATTCCTCTGGCGGGAAATTAAACATGAAAAAGACAACCAAGATGTAGACTAAACGAACTTTGACGATTTCAGAGCCCGTAACCGTCGACAGCTCAAGATCAAAACTTCGTCATGTCGAAGCCCTTTTCATCGATGTTTGCGCGGAGATATTCGTGAGTGTGTTTAAAAGATTTACTGATATTTTTTTCGTATGCTCAACTCCAGATTTCACCGCATGTCAAATTGTAAACAAACTTTATCAACGCTACAGTAGGCCTATCCTTTTCTATTTTATTTTTTCGCAATCGGTACATTTAAAACAATACAACATGATGCGCGATTTAAACGGAATATGAACAGGCAAGACATGCGCATAAGAAATAAATCAAAATAATGATATACCACGGAGATATTATTCGTACTAAAATATACTGTACAGTTTTTTTTCCTCGACCAATATCGGGTATTATTTTTAATAAGATATCGGATCCCCAAAGACCATTACATATTGCATATATGTATGAGTAAATTTAACAAATAACAATGTAGCAGAGAACTGGACTGGTAGTTCATGATCTGTGATTACACCCTCGATATCCAGGGGTTACGCTCACTTTCGCTCTCTACACCCCTGGAATATGTCATAGCAAAAATGAAAACTCAGTGTGCGCCACCTTGTCGATGAAACAAGAAGACTAATTTGATTCTTTGATACACATCAAAAGAATCTCGCGGTCGTGTAACAGTAAAAAAAATAATTGTTATGACACATTCCAGGGGTGTAGAGAGTGAAAGTGAGCGTATCGTTACCCCTGGATATCGAGGATGAGTTGATTAAAACATCCTTTTATACATCCTCGATATCCAAGGGTTACGCTCATTTTCGATCTCTACACCCCTGGAATAGTGTTCTTGTCTCATCGAGATATGGCACACACCGGTACTGAGCCTTTAATTTTGCTATGACATATTCCAGGGTTGTAGAGAGCGAAATTAAGCGTAACCCTGGATATCGAGGATGCCTAATATAGTTTGGAGATCTCAGGTCTGGCTGTCATCTAAATTGAAGTTATACGTATACCAGAGACGTATATATTACTGTAACAGGAGCATATTGGGCCCATTTTGTCAGTACGTCAAACTGTACCTGACTTGCCCTGCAGACCAACCCAGGTTTGATGGATAACTTGTAACTGTCTCGAGGGAAAACAAACGCCTTGAAACACAATTATCAATTGATTATTTACAGCATTGTTATTTACAACATAAAATACATGGGAAACAATTACAATAGCCTAGGCCTAGCTAACATAGCGAATACTCCGGTCCCCTATACTTACAAAAAATATGTAAAGACCGACCATCCCATACTACCTACGACCTAACTATAATTCAAACTAACGCTAACCCCACATCCTGACTAAGTCCCTATCTAAAAATCCTAAACTAACCCTAAATATACCTGACGAAAAGATGTGACAGCATACAGGAATCTAATCCATCCGATTGCCCCGTGTACGATATACATTGTACCACCCCGTATTTATCCCACATTTGACAATACGAAAACTAAAGGACCAATCACAACAAAAGATTCACAGAAGCACACAGGTACAGCGGACACTGACAAAAAAGCAAGCAACTGCCGTTAATGCACGACAAAAGCATCGACCTCAGACAGGACACGTGAACAGAAAACAACAAAGGTCAGGGTGACACAGGTACACATAGTACAGACACAACGTACATACATGCCATAGAATTGAGCTTTATAATACAATCCTGTCAGCTTACACTGTAGATGAACACACATATATTATAACATCCCCCGCTACATTACTTTGTAATATATATGTCGCTGGTGATACCAACCTTTGCCCAGGGGAACAGATGTTTAATATACAAATAAAGTGGAGCTGGTGGTTACCATTGGTGTCGGAGGGATGGGATCAAGTTGGCTAAATTGCTCTTAATAACTTGATTGTCATTTCTTTCCTATTTTGATAGTGGTGTAGCGGAACTGGAATGAGTCGATTGTCAGCGACCAGGTAGCTCAATTGTTAAAGCATCCGTCTAGAGTTTGGAGGGTCCCGGGTTCAAATTTGCTTATTTGCCTAATCCATACTTGCAAACCCTCCCTATTTAGGAGGGACACTCTTGATTATTGACCCTTATATTTAGTATTTTCAACCTATCAATTTGTTCCACTATTACCACATTCTAAGATCTAATGATTTCATCTAAAAGTACAACTCAAAATATGTCATTTAAAAAAGGGTTAGTTTGTCTTCAGGGGGTATATTGCACAAATTTATTTATGTTTTGATTTTGAGCATTTAGATTCCCCCCCCATGGACATTTGAAAAAGCTGGCAAGTATGCTCAATCAATAGGACAGGTTTTCAACAAAATTGTTATATATATATATACGTAGTGAATCTCTAGGCCATAAAGAGTAGAAATTCTATACAACAGACAGCTAACATTCCTGGAGGCTAATTTCCACCAAAACTACTTAGCAGATTTAAAACCTAAAATAAAAGCTAAACCTTCCAAATAGTGAGTTGTGCAACTCTCCTCCAAAGATTTCCCCCAATGAATAAAGTACATAGATTTGACAATGCATAAGGCACCAGCCCAGGTTCAGATAAATTTGGATCATTCAATCTAGATCTTTAACATACCTGTTAATTGAAAGAAGAAAAAAAAAATAAAAAAATCTCATTATGAGAAGGAGGAAAATCAAGCAAAGAATTACACAAAAATCCAAACAATATTCCATTGCATCTACTGAAGCAAGAGCCTGTACGTGGTACCCTTGTATGTATACATTTCTCATATAATGTTTCAGAAAGCGACAGGTAACGAACCGTGATTTCAACTTTGTACAAGATTGGAATGCAGGCTCATCAGATGGCAGAAGTACAGACAACCATGATACATTTAGTGCCAAGGTAATAAACAGTCCTACCAGGTACATGTCCGTTTAAGTATTTGGTGTAGACTCACTTTTTGGCGTTTACTTTATGAATATTCAATAGAATTTCAAAAGTTATTACTCATTTAGTCTTGACTGATAGCCGACACTTTGATAATGAAAATACAAATGTGTCTGTTATCTGTAAACATATGCATATGAAGGCATACTAAGGCCAAATATAAAAAGTCTGGTGTTTCGGCGTACCCTACGTATACCTAGTACCTACCCTACTAGAATTTTTTGCCTATCCTTAAGTTTTTATTGGCATGTAATGATATTTTCACTGTTAAAGTCAGAATCCTGCTTTATATAAGTATAGTAAGAATATTTTCTAAAATAAAAAATAGCTTACCTAGCTACCTACCATATTTTCTGTGGATGAAAGAAGAAACACAAGTATTATTTTTTTGGCCTAGCTAACCTACTGATGAATGCATGCTGTATGTTTGATGTAGATCTGCTTTTCCATCGTCCGGCAACAATATTTTACTTTCAACAACTTCTTCTTAATAACCAAAAGGCCTAGCGTGATGATATTTGTCCAGAAGCAAACAGGGGTTAAGGGCTACCAAGTTCGTTCAAATAAATGACCTTCACCCATATTCAAGGTCACAGGGTTCAAATATGTAAAAAAATATCTAAACAACTTCTTCTTAATAACCAAAATGCTCAGGGTGATGATATTTGGCCAGTATCATGCTGTGATAAAGGGCTACCAAGTTTGTTCAAATGAATGACCTGAATTCACTCATTCAAGGTCACAGGGGTCAATTGTCTTAAAAAAACTTTAAACACTTTCTTTTGAATAACCAAAAGGACCAGGATGTCGATATTTGGTCAGTAGCAAGCTGGGATGAGAGCATTCATGATCATGTTTGTTTAAAAGAATGACCTTGACATATATTCAAGGTCACAGGGGTCAAATTTCATAAAAACCTTTACGGTAATAGGATTGTGTCGCCATTTCTCAGTAGAATTTCTTCAAATTTTGTAGTCATTTTGCTTTGAAGGAAAGAAAATTTTCTGCCACAAAATAAATATAGGTTGTCATAATTTTAAGGAATTTAAATGGAAATTTATGTAAAATGGAATGACTTCTGGAAAAAAAATGAAAGACACAATTTTTTGCAAAATAATGTCAATAAAAATGATACTACCATAGATAAGTATTGCATCAATGTACATCAATTTAATAAATGCTGAAATTATGTCAAATAAATTATCTATAAACGATTAAAAATTGACATTTTATAATAAAACTATATGCACATAGTAAATGCAGGTAAGAGTTATCTTCCTTGAAAAACTTCACAGTAGTGAAATAGGTCGCCGGTTTCCTGAAGTACAGAAAAATGGATACATGTAACTCATAGATAAAACAAAAACCTGAATTAATACCTAGATTGTTTTGAAATACTTTAATATTGAGAGAAAACACTGTTCGGTCAATAATAAACATACAATATTCATCAGTTTAATATTAAACATTAGAATATGCGGAAATTGTGATACTGTCTCCCTACATTGTATTTTCAACTAGGAATGTACTTCCTACTTCCATTTATCAATACACTCCTATGACCTGAAACAACTTCTCAATAACCAAATGGCCTAGGATGTTGATATTTGACAAAAATCATGCTGTGATGACGGGCTAACAATTTGTTCAAACAAATAACCTTCGCCAATATTCAAGGGCACAGGGATCAAATATGTTTTAAACCTATATACAACTTACTAAATGGCCTAGGATGGTGATATTTGGCCAGTAGCATGCTTGGATATAAAGGGCTACCAAGTTTGTTCAAACGAATGACCTTCACCCATATTCAAGGTCACAGGGGTCAAATATGTTTAAAACCTTATACATGTATCAACTTATTCTGAATAACCAAAAGGTTCATGGTAATGATATTTGGCCAGAATCATGCTGGGATGGAAGGCTATAAACTCTGTTCAGCTAAATGTTCTTGTTTTAATGACTTTGAGTCAAGACACTGATATTTCTCCTACAGCTTTATTTTAGTCTAATTTTAAGGTTAAAGTTGTGAGATTAATACCGGGTGAGCGATGCAGACCCATTGAGCCTCTTGTTTTATTATAGTTAAATTCAAGAAAAACAAATTTTGATAACTTTGATTCTTCTTTGAAATATAGGTGACTCCACGAGCACAGTATATTATTTCCTCGTCCAAACCCAGTCCAGCTCATGGCAATCATCACATACCAGAACTTTCTGATCTCATCAGCAGCAGTCCGATACCTGTTGTCATCCAGTCACCGCCTGCAAGGGGTAGGTTATTCTCCTTTCATTACCAAGACACCATCTGACATCAGGGATAGGTTTCTCTAATTGGCGGTCATCTAGTCACCAGGCATCAGGGGTAGATGACCAAAGGGTTGAGCGGGTTAGACCAGAGTTGTTCGTTTATGAAATAAGGTTGATCCTAGTAATCTGATGCTGCTTTCAGACGAGCTTTGACAGAGCCTTGCAAGGCCTGCATAAACTTTTGCATGTCCGCCAGTATTTACATGATTTACATACCTGAAAATGTAACATTTAAAAACAGACAAACAGGTTGTTCCACATAAATGAATAGGCCCCTACTCACCACTCATCAGGGTTAGGTAACTCTGATTTGTGATTACCCGATAGCTGACCATCAAGGGTAACTCTACTGTCATGAACCATGGACTGGCATGCGTGTCGCCAAGGCTGTCCTGTTTTCATGGAAAGACTAAATTTTTTATTAAAATTTTTGTCAACAAATACTCCTGAGCTGAAAAAATCCCATGTCAAGAGAAGAAGTTATACTCCCTACCCAGAACCTGATCTTTTCCAAATATAAAGTGTTTTTAGCAGTATGATAGGTCATTTGAGAATTGAAAATAAACCAAATGTCAGACTCTGCAATTGTGAGCTAGTAAACTTAAGGATTTAAACTAGAATAGGCCTTATGTCTTAATTGAAACAAAAAAAATTCAGATGCCGATATTTTTTTGTTTCTTCATTCAGCAATTCCTTCTAAACAAGCATCCATTGGGGAGGATGATGACGACGAAGAAGAGTTAGCAGACGAGGAGGATGAAGAAGAAGAGATGGCAGAGGAGGAGGAGTCTGGCCGAGACGGGGATGCCAGCATGGTTGACAGCACAATGGCCGTGAAGGATGATGGAGAGTCGGAAAGTGATAGCTTTGTGGTAGAAGCTACAATACAACATGCTCAGGAGGAGGACGTGAACGGTACTTTATATCGCTCCAGAAAAGAGACCACACAGAGGATTAGATACAGCACATCTGACCGTGAGGTATCTGGAGGTGTGTATTCTGAACACAGCGAGACCGGTACCATTGATAGTAGGGCAGATGAGTCTGAACGAGAGAAGGATGGAAGACAGAAGGCTGTTCATCATGATGAGGAGTTGGAAGAAGAGGAGGAGGAACAGGTTGATAGGCATGAGAAATTGAACATAAGCAGCATGCATGTTGAGAAGGAGAAGAACAATGATTTATCAAGTAGAACAAGAAGGTCCAGTGCTAAAGATAATAAGGAAGAGGAGGAGGGGATTGAAGATACTAGGTTAAAGAAATTGGACAGGAAAAGCTCTTCTCTGGAGGAGAAAAGTCTTAATAATCGTTCATCTCGTAAATTGAGAGCAAGGTCTAGGGGTAATGATCCAGAGGACAATATGAATGTGCAAACATCATCTGGTGTGCTACATAGTGCAGGTCTGCCAAACGAGTCTGAACAAAGAAACAGAGTCATTGAAGCAGATTCAGATGACTGCACTGATAGGTCCTCATCTCAGAACCAGAGAAATGATAGGAATCAAAGGAACAGGTCGAAAATTCAGACAAACAGGTCTGGTGGACATCATATTGAGACTGTCTTCCATAATGAGACAAGGGAAAGTGATGACGGGGATGAGAATGAGAAACCTTTACATAAGAATAGGCCAAGTCTAAATAATAGGGAAAATGTGAGAAACTCTGTATCCAAATCACCTAAGCAGGCTAAGAACTTAAACAAATCTAGATCTGCTGACAAAGAGCAGCAAAATCAGACTTTTGAGAGAAGAAAAACACGTTCAGGAAAAAAGGAAAGACTGACAAGGCACTCCTCTATGGAGCAAAATGATTCAGATAAAGATGTGTCGGAAACGCATGATTCTGATTTGGAGGAAGAAGAGACTGCAGGTAAAAGGAGAGGGTCACTCTCTGAGAGCAGGACTAAAGTTCCACAAGAGGGCGATACTGACGAAGAGGAAATCATGGAGGAGATTGGTGATGAGGATATGGAAGAAGATGTCACGCAGGACCAAATGTTACGGGACGAAATCTCTCAGGAGGAAACTGCAGCATCAGTAAGTCTTCTTCAAATGTAATCAGTCATATATCTACTAAAATAGAATCCCCAGCAGTTGACAGATAGTTCATACAATGTATCGACAAAAACATGAAGAAAAAAAGCTTTTCTAAGATATTGTTTCATTTTGTAATGATTAAAAAAAAAAAAGGCCTTCAACATTCAGATTTTCAGAATTTTGATTATTTTTTTTTTAAATTGTATATTTTCAGATAATGATCCAGTCAACTATACAAGATACACCAATAACAACAAAGTCTCACAAAAAGCTAAAGAGAAGTCTTGTTAACAAAATCAACAATGACAATGAGAAGGAGGACAATGATGATATCAATGTTGGCAGCCCCGCTAAACCCGTACCACCTCCTTTAAAACAGAAGAAAATCTCATTTTCTTCTGGAACTAAAAAATCAGATGAGAAAAAAAGGAAAGAACCTGGTAAGAGATAGAAATATAGGTTTGGAATAACAGAATATTTCAGTGCTATGATAATTTTAGATATTTCTTGACAAAGGATAAAATATGAACTAGTGCAGCCATTTAGTGAAATGGATGTATAATATTTGTGGTTTTAAATTTTCCTAACATTAAAAAAAAAATATTCAGGAAGTTTTACATTCTTTAATATTTGCAAACATAGATATTCAAGAAATTAATATTTAGGAAAGGAATTCAATGTGTTCATGAAATCCGAAATTAAAATCAAATCAATGTAGAGAATATATTAATTAGGTCTAGATCTGTCACAATATATCAGAAAACCGGTATATCATAATACAGAGGGTTATCTTATCACAATACAGAAATAAAAAATGTTGCTGTATCGTATTATTTTTCAAAAACTTATTTTTCTGTCTATGCTAGATGCTCTACTGGTAACTTTGCAAATCATGACACATTCTAACAGATATGCCAATAACCGTAAACAGACTATTACCAGTGGTGGAAAGCAGTTGAAATTTCTATTTGATGGTTGATTTAATGAAAATCTTAAATCTGTGATGTATTGTGACGCCCCTAATATTAATGTACACTCCAGATGTATTGTGACACCCCTAATATTAATGTACACTCCAGATGTATTGTGACACCCCTAATATTAATGTACACTCCAGATGTATTGTGACACCCCTAATATTAATGTACACTCCAGATGTATTGTGACACCTCTAATATCAATGTACACTCCAGATGTATTGTGACACCCCTAATATTAATGGACACTCCAGATGTATTGTGATGTTAATAGGACGTTAAACAAAATCAAACCAAACCAATGTCTATCTTCACGGTACACCACCTCGGACTATGGCAGTGTGAGATGGACAAACGTTACAAGAAATCTGTTCTAGATCTCGACATTGTCCTCAATGACCTCGATGAGAAACTCCAAGTGGCCAGGTAGTGATCAAAACAATGTATAAATGTAAAAGTATATCTAATGACAGATGATGTTAAAGTGAAACACCTTTTCATTAATTCCACATTTGTGTTGAAATATGTATTCATAAACAGTAGGACCCCATTTTCAATGAGGATGGATCTAGATTATTTCCTCCCAATGGAAAATACCCAAAATATCTAGGAAAATAATTTAACTGTCTTAAGTAAATGTCTTGCTCTACAAACAAGAAATCTTTTCCATGTTTAGCTTTGTTTTTCTTGTCTAGTGATGACATTCATCTTACTACAATGAAGAAGAAGGAATGTCAGTTACTGAGTCATATACGGAAAAGAATCACCAGTACAGTAAGTATACCTGGTTTGTTTCACTATTATTTTGATTAATAATGTTTTATGCTAGGGAGAGAGAATCACTTATGATTGACAATATATTGATATTGTTGTCTAAAATGATCAACATTTATGTATTGTGGGCTCTTGAGAAAATAAATTTTGGTTTTAAGGGAACTCACATGGTATATTTCTTCCTCCATGGATTAGGAAAAAATTCATTATAATTTTCAATATTCATTTATGTGCTTCTCTGGTAGCAAGAATTCGCAATACATATCTGCCTTCTAATGTTTTCCTTGATTGAATTTGAAGATTCATCTTGCTTTAAAGAATGAAAATATTACTTCAAAAAAATAACGATGCATGCATAAACAGACTGCCAATGTTAAGGACAATCCAAAAATACATATAGGTATTACTTTGTCTGCGTCATCAGTTGTGTCGTCCGAAACAAGGTTTCTGTGCAATAACTTGAGTCCCCTTGGGTCGATTGAACTCAAAACTTCTTAAAGTGCTTCCTTACCAATATATATAGTGCTTGCTTGGGATTGCCTTTCAGGTCCAAAGGTCAAGGTCGTTTACTATAAATAGAAAATCTGTTTCTGTGCAATAACTTTAGTTTCTTTTGGTTGATCGAGCTCAGACTTCATACAGTGCTTCCTTACCAATAGTGCTTGCTCAGGATTGCTTTTCAGGTCCGAATGTCAAAGGTCAAGGTCACAGTTACTATAAATAGAAAATCTGTTTCCATGCGTTAACTTGAGTTCCTTAGAGTTGATTGAACTCAATCTTCATACAGTGCTTCCTTACTAAAAGTGCTTGCTTGGGATTGTTTTTCAGGTCCGAAGATCAAAAGTTAAGGTCAATGTTACTATAAATAGAAAAATCTGTTTCCGTGCAATTACTAGAGGTTTTTTTTGTTCATCAAACTCAGACTTCATAAAGTGCTTTCTTACCAATAGTGCTTGCTTGGGATTGCTTTTCAGGTCTGAAGGTCAAAGGTCAATGTCGCTGTTACTATAAATAGAAAAACTGTTTCCATGCTATAAGTCCAGTTTCCTTGGGCAGATCAGCCTCAAAACTTGACACTGACTGTTATTCCATGGGATTGCTGGTGTTCAAGCTGAAACACTTTTCTCACTAAAAGTGCTAAACAGCTTTTTTCACCATTACATCGAAGCATAATCTCACTAGAGTTGCCTTGGCAGGCGACACATCTGCTCCGGTAGAATTCTTGTTATGATAAAGGAAAGTATGAATTTGGGAAATCATTTTTAAATTTGATTAGGCCCAACTAAAGAACCTATTTTTCCTATTTGTTTACCCTAATTAGCCTAATAAACAAAACGTTGGCTATTAATTAGGTCTGAAGTGTTTTCTATGAAATATAAAAACTTTTCTGAGCCTAAGTTTTAGAGAGCTGAAATCAGAAGCACAACCATCCAATTGTTTGGCCTTGATCAAAATAAGTTAGCATGTTATTCATGGAACAGTGTAGATGCAGATTAATGAGGATCTGCTGTACATTGGAAGATCATGATTTTTGTTTTAATTTTAGATAGAAGCTGTTGAAGAAACTCGACAAAAACGCACATACATTCTTCGGGTATGTTTAATTCCTTTTGAATTCTTGAATGCCTGTCAAACAATGCACAGATTTATTTTGGTCCCATGTTCAAGGAAGTTGGCAGGGGATATGGAGACAGGGTCTGACCATGTACAGAGATGTACATTCATCCTCGATATACAGGGGATATAGAGACAGGGTCTGTCCATGTACAGAGATGTACATTCATCCTCAATATCCAGGTGTTATAGAGACAGGGTCTGTCCATGTACAGAGATGTACATTCATCCTCAATAAACAGGGGTTATAGATACAGGGTCTGTCCATGTACAGAGATGTATATTCATCCTCGATATACAGGGGATATAGAGACAGGGTCTGTTCATGTACAGAGATGTACATTCATCCTCGATATCCAGGGGATATAGAGACAGGGTCTGTCCATGTTCAGAGATGTACATTCATCCTCGATATACAGAGGATATAGAGACAGGGTCTGTTCATGTACAGAGATGTACATTCATCCTCGATATACAGGGAATATAGAGACAGGGTCTGTCCATGTACAGAGATGTACATTCCTCCTCGATATACAGGGGATATAGAGACAGGGACTGTCCATGTACAGAGATGTAAATTCATCCTCGATATACAGGGGATATAGAGATAGTCGCTTGGTCACCAGCGGTGACAGACTGAAGAGAAGTAACATCTTGCCCGGGCTCCCAACATTCATCCTCGATATACAGGGGATATGGAGACAGGGTCTGTCCATGTACAGAGATGTACATTCATCCTCGATATCAAAGGGTTATGCTCACTTTCGCTCTCTGCACCCATGGAATATGTCATAGCAAAATTGAAGGCACACAGCTAGCTATTTGATTGGTGCTGCACACTGAGCTTGTGATTTTGCAATGACATATCCCAGGGGTGAAGCGAGCGAAAATGAGCGTAACCCCTGGATATCGAGGATGATGTACATTAAAACTGACGGCATGTTGCAGATGCTGAAATTTAACTAAATTTTACAATTCTGTGACATCTTTTATATTCTTTCATAAATATGTCTGGGTAACTTTGAGTGTTCTCTGGCCCATTCTTACAGATTGTATTATGTCTGGGGTACTTTGAGTGTTCTCTGGCCCATTCTTACAGATTGTATTATGTCTGGGTAACTTTGAGTGCTCTCTGGCCCATTCTTACAGATTGTATTATGTCTGGGTAACTTTGAGTGCTCTCTGGCCCATTCTTACAGATTGTATTATGTCTGGGTAACTTTGAGTGCTCTCTGGCCCATTCTTACAGATTGTATTATGTCTGGGTAACTTTGAGTGCTCTCTGGCCCATTCTTACAGATTGTATTATGTCTGGGTAACTTTGAGTGCTCTCTGGCCCATTCTTACAGATTGTATTATGTCTGGGTAACTTTGAGTGCTCTCTGGCCCATTCTTACAGATTGTATTATGTCTGGGTAACTTTGAGTGCTCTCTGGCCCATTCTTACAGATTGTATTATGTCTGGGTAACTTTGAGTGCTCTCTGGCCCATTCTTACAGATTGTATTATGTCTGGGTAACTTTGAGTGCTCTCTGGCCCATTCTTACAGATTGTATTATGTCTGGGTAACTTTGAGTGCTCTCTGGCCCATTCTTACAGTTTGTAATGTGTCTGGGTAACTTTGAGTGCTCTCTGGCCCATTCTTACAGATTGTATTATGGTAAAGCTTTGTCCTTATGTAATGTTTTCTTGCCCAGAACATGTAACTTCTTAACTGAAGAAAATATTTCGTTGAAACATTATTTACATGTGAACCATTAGTAGGTAGATGTGCATAGGATATGTCACAGAACCCAATCTTTTGGGTTCTGATTATGTTTATCAGTATATATTTCATAACTACCAGGTAAAATCTATGTACATTGTATGTTTCATCACTGACAATTAATGCCTTAAATACCGCAGCAGTGCAATAATTAATATAACAAGGATGTTGACACAATTCTGTGTGTTACAATCTGCAGTGTTTTACATCGGTCACATTGCATAAGAAAACAATAATCTTGACAGCATTGTATATATCTGACCAAATGTAGTATTCCATGGTGTAATGCTACATGTGATGTTTTCTAAATGCATATTTCATTGGGAAAATATGAAAAAAGGACAATTGATGAATTTTCTTATTTATAATAGCCGTATATTGTTTATATGTACTTTGAACAGATGTATACTGTTTTAGTTATTGAACAATCTTAATTCCAGGCAAAGAGAAGCATTAATGAAAGCAGGACTGAGCTGTCAGAGCTACAACAGAAAAACATCAGGTTTGTCTCCTATATATATTTGTAATAAACATATTTAATGTTCCAGGTCTGCCAGTCACTGATTATTTATGCCTGTATTTGTATTTTTTCATCCATCTCTCTGTCCATCCTTCCATAAATTCCTCTCCAAATCTTTCAAGACCAGATGTGTAGGATAGGGAAATTCTACCGGAGGGATTTTCAAATTGGGTAAGACCTGAGGCTTTCCAAGAGTTTTGCACCAATTTGATAAGCTTGAGGGTGAACTTTCCCTATTATATGACGATATGAAAGAGTATTTTTCTATCAATCTAATCGCTAGATTTAAATCAAAACCCACAAGAAAGAGCATCACAATATCAACATTGCTTCAATGTTTCTGATTTGCTGACGTCATGTCATTGTTTACCCACTGTGACAGCTGTGTGATATCCTGCACATGAAACGGGATGTAAGATAGAAATTTGTTACAATCTTTTCTTACCCTAGTTCTGTTATACACACAGGAATGAGAGAGAAAACATGGTCATAACAATCCAGAATGCAATGCTATCAGAATGTATTCATTTTCAATGGATATGTTGTAAATCTTTAGATGTGGAGTTGTTTTGGTATATGGGCCAATATGTATAGTGGACTTTCACAAAGTACAACAATCAAACACTTAGTCCAATGTAGATTTATAGTCTGATGCAGACCACATTTTGAATGATTTAAGATGAGAAAAATTCATGTAAGGACCCTTTTTCTATGATACAGATAATAGAGATCAACTTACAAGGACACAGGGTCAAAAATATGCAATAATGGCTAATGGACCTACAGCTGCTCAGCTCACTATAAATTGGTTGATTGTTTAGCCAAGGATTTTGTGTTGTTAGGTCATTATTCAAATCAAATAATGAATGCATAATTAATCAATTTGATCTTTAGCAAGAATTTCTTTTCTTGTATTTGATAAGACTTTCCGAGAAGCTTGGGAATGAGAAAAATGAAAAGAAATATCGGAAGAAGTTACTGAACGACTGGATCACCAGCTTTGAAACTTTAATGGTAGCGTCTCGTAACATAAAAACCAAATCAGCTCTGAAGGTAAGCTCTCCTTTTTTTATGTTGAAATGTCAATACAATTACTTGTCTCAGACATTCCAAAACAAATTGGCGACATCAATTTTACAGAATAACACAAAAAAACAAAAAAACATTATTTATTTTTACATTTTCCCTTACTTCAGGTTAAAAAAATGTGAATTTACATTTTTCCTTACTTCAGGTTAAAAAAATGTGAACTAAATAAAAGTGTAATGTGTAAAACTTGGTCCTGGCCTCTGTCATTCAAAACGAATTGTTTTTCTCTAACATTAGGTTGTGTTAACAAGTGCTGATAAACATTGTTCATGTCCTGAATTTCATAATGGATTTCCTTAGTTTTCAGTTCATTCAGTTCTTCTCAGTTGTAAAAAGAAATTCTTCTTCATTTCCTAGGGTATGGTTTCATTTGGCTACCTTCCCAAGATAGAGTGAACCCGGGGATTCAACACGGGAAGTCAGGAACAGACATGTTCACACAGCTTATAGCAGGAACAGACATGTTCACTCAGCTTATAGCAGGAACAGACATGTTCACACAGCCTATAGCAGAAACAGACATGTTCACACAGCTTATAGCAGGAACAGACATGTTCACACAGCTTATAGCAGGAACAGACATGTTCACACAGCTTATAGCAGGAACTCGAAGGCGATTTCTGACAAAGGTCTTCAGACAGAAGCAGTTGACATTTTTCTGTCTGAAAACAAATTACGGGATACAGCTGGCGATCTACCCAAGATAGAGTGACGAGGATTCAACACCTGGAATAGGAACAGAGATGTTTTACAAAGTTTTCTACTTCAAGAATTGTAACCCAGGGATACATGCAAAAGCATTTCCAATATTTCTTTTTTTAGTGAGACTTTATACTGCTGACAATATGTAGCAGGTCTCATGTCCGTTTCAAAACTCATGATCTTTCAAATAATGTTGATTTTTTTCATTGGTCAAATATTTAATATAAAGGCCAATATGTTCAAACCAGATAAAAAAGGGGAAACTTGTAAAAAATATTTGTTGTATATATTGATTATAAACAATTAGTTTTGTTGTACATTGAAAATATTTTATTAAACTAAAATACAATAACAAACTCATGGTGTTGATTGTTTAAAAGAATTAGTACTACTCTACACATACAATCGGATTAAAATACCGATGTTATTTTCACCTACAGCTTCAGGCTTATAATTTATAATGGAGATCAGTATTTTGATCAGATTGCTTATACAGTCCATACATTGTGACAGGTAAATTTGTGCTGCTATTGTATTTGGGGTGTAAACTTAGCCCAGCAAAATATCAGTTTAGAAATGTGAAAAAGATATATTATATCAGGTAGCTTGTTGGCACCATCTACTTGTTTGTCCATTTGTTTGTCTCTCCTCATACTGATCTGAACAAACTCCATGACCAGAAAAGAATTTGACATAGGACAAGTGAGCTTATTTTCAAATGATTGACCTTGACCTGATTTTAAGGTCTCGTTGGTCAAATGTACCCTGAATGACCAACAGGCGTAGGGTCATGCCCTTGGCTGTAAACAGCCTATACTGGAATGCACGGCTATAAAGTTTGTTAAAATAAAGTCTTAATTTCAAAGGAGACAAATAAGTTTATACTTCTGAATAATCAATGGGGTTTGGGTCATGATATTTTACCTGTCACATGCTGGGGTGAAGGGCAATCAAGCATATCCAGATGTCTATCAAATTTCTTCTGAATAACCAAGATACTTTGAGGATCATGGTATTAAACTCGATGCTGAATTGAACATAAATCTTCTTATGTTTAATTCAGCATGACCTTGACCTACTATCAAAGACTTTTTGATATGATATTTGGTCTGCTGAGTGTTTCTATTAAGCACTCTCAATTTGTTCAAATTAATGATTTGGACATAATTTCAAGCTCACAGGGGTCATATGTGAAATTTGTAAACTTTTTGAAGATCAAAAGACCTAAGATTACGATATTTCACCTATAGTTATAATATTGAAACTTTAATAACCAAGAATCCAGATGTCTGGATATACCGGTATGTCATGTAACAGGTTTGGATGAAGTGCTATCAAAATGACCATGGCATTTTTTCAATGTCACATGGGTCAAATATTTAAACATCTTAATAACATAAAAATAATAATAGAGGCATAGGATCATAATATTTGGCATGTAGATTGCTAGAATAACGGACTAAAGAATTTCTTCAAACGAATGTTCTTAACCTTCTTTTCAAGACCACTAGACTCCGTAATGTTAAAATCTGTAAACGGGTCATAATAGTTGACCTGTACTATGCTGGAATGAAGGTCTACAAAGTTTATTTGATTGAATGACATTGGCTCACTTTCAAAGTAACTGGGTTAAAATTATCAACGTTTCAACGATTTCATTTGATTAATTTTCTATAGCGCACGGCGGGCTAGGCTGGCACAATGATGTTTGTGTGTGTTGTTGATGACGAAGTAGAGATTGGACCAAATAAAGATCGAGGTTCGTGGTATTAGGTCTTAAACTTGAACATGCTAAAGTAATAGGTTATCAGTTTTGTTATTATGATTGACTGATTCATTTTCAAGTTCACGAGGGTAGAGAAAATATGTTTTTAAAAACTTTCAAATAGCGTCTGGAATAGCGCCATATTTAGCTTGTTGGGATGAATAACCATGTTTATTAAAATAAGTGACAGGTGGGCTTAAGGTGAGTTAACTAACTTGAAAGACTTATAAACAGCCATAAGGCAAGGGTAATAATGTTGTCTGAAAAGGTGAAGGACTATAAAATATATTTAAATAAGTGAACTTCACCTCACCTTTGAGATAAACTATATAATATAGTTAAAAGGTTTATAAATATTAGTAAATTAAATTAATGATGAAGTGATTACCATTTGCGCGCTAAAAGGAACTTGTCATTTCCTTCTGGCAGTCATCTTATATTATTGACAATGCCAACTGAAAGCAGTTCATTGCGGATACGTGACAAACAAGACAGCAATTGAGGATGTACTTAAAAGTATTAGACTCGTGTCAAGAAGCTCTTACATGCGGTTTTGAACAAAACAAATAGAGTCCTCAGTATGCCGTGGAGAGGCTTTCCTTCTGTCCTCTATGTCTAGTGTTACCGTATCTTGAATACGGCGGTTAAGTGTCTTGAACCCACCGTCACCAATAAGACAAAGTGTAGTGTTGATAGAAGGGCACTACCAGGGATAAATGAGCTAACATATAGTAGAAAAGGGTTACAGAAGCTGGCATATCAAAGGTTAACCTTACCCGAAAACAAAATGCAAAAGGCAAAAAACGAAACAACAAAGGAAAACTCGGTGACACCAGTTCCTCCACCCTTCTGTGCCTCATGTAAAACCAATGACAATCTATCAGATAAAACTTGTTTAAACTTATGTTAAAGGTGTTTTTCACATTTATGAAAACGTACACATTTGTTTGCAAGTTAGGCGTGTCATAGATGGTGGGCTAACCAAAATCAGCCGTTGTCCGGCCGTCCTTAAACAAAGTACTGACCGGGATCTTTTTGTTCAAATTTCACATAAGGGTTCACCATGGTCCATAGGTTTATGATAACATGTCTGTTTAGTTAGCAGTCGACGACGAGTCATCGTCGGATATCTCGGTAAGTAGCGCAATCGACAGTGAGTAATATCTGACGATGTTGTCAAATATCCTTTATACGTTCTTAAAGGTAAAAATCAAAAGAGTTAGACTGACATTATGCAGACTGAACGTAACAGATTTTATTTTATTTTCAAACTTATTGAGAAAAATATGTCCATCCCCTAGCCGTAATGTTGCATCTTGCTTTGTGCCATCCACGAATTCCAGAGATGACGTTCTGTTACATTCTCTTCATTAATGCATTTCATGTATGTAGTGAACAATTGATGTTAGCCCAGTAGAGCTATTATTACGAAAAACAAGTCTTAGGAACAATAAGTAGGTCATTATAATTACATTTATGCGCACATACATAACATAGTTGTATAGTTAAACGAACAATTGTAAAGCGTATATATAATAGGCTTATCAAAGCATATACACAATACGATTAGACTTATGAAATTACCGTACAGTTGGATAAATTAAAATAACTATTTGTTTACTTTTAATTTACAATATTTATAATACAGCGACGAATATAATTCATATTCCCGAAAGAAAATAACTTAAAAGACCATACAAGCTGGATACAAGGGAGGTAACCGCATATATAATTTCGCGTCACTTAAAGATAATATCAAAAGACAGCGCACTGTTATAGCGGTTTGTTGCCTGTTTCATAAACTTAAAAAAGAGCCAGTGAACTTCGATTGATTTTGTCATAACCAAAGGGGTCCTTACCATTGTCCCCATAAAGCGACCCCTTTCATGCCCTCTAAAAACGACATGGTATCTTTCCATCATGCTTTGTGAAAATGTATTTGTTTATTTTTAGAGACTAATTTCCTTCAATAACCATCTACAACATAATAAATAACATCACTTGAATATAAATTGCGTGCATTGTGAAATGAATAGAATGAACCGTTTACAAATAACCGACAGTCGTAAACTGTCTGCTCCCGTCGATACAACGATTACATAATTATTTCTATCAACAATTGGTAAAGAAATGTTTATCCCCGTGTGGTGAATCGAGATAATTCAGGTTTCTGTACTATGGGGTTCTCCTTCCCATTTCTCTGCCAATACAATATGGACCTTCAACATCTCACGTTAGAGTTCAAAAGGCTCATTACAGACACGGTAAGTCAAGTTTTAAAATGTAAAGAAAAATACTTTAATTTTTTAAACGTTTTCCAAACAAATATATCTGACGGCGGTTGTTTTTGAGCCCATGGCATACATATTTTGATTTCAAATTGTTTGGAAAAAAAGAATATTTAAAATTTATTCTTTTTTTGTATTAAGCCAAATGTGCTTCATTTAGGAGGCATGGTAGTCTAGTGGTAGGACCGTTACCGAAGGATGGCGGGTTCGAGTCACGTCAGGGCACTGTGTTGTATCTCCGGACAAGATACTTTACTCTGCTTGTTCCAGTCTTCTCAGCTGTAAATGAGTACGTGGTTGGGCAGTGCTAGAATTGTTGAATGCTAGCTGTTAGCGCCGAAATGGCAGCACCGACTGTATGCTCCCCAGGGAGTTGAGAAAGGTGTTGGCTGGTTGCAAAGGACCTATAACCACGGATAATAATTTGTGATTCGCTTTGAGACGACCTACGGACTAGGTTGTGATAAAGCGGTATATATAAGAACCTCGAATTATTACTATTATTATTCATTTTCTAAATGTTTAAAGGCCTAATTATTGATATCAAGAAATATGCCAAACACAGAAAGATAACCTTTGTGTATAAAGATGGTTAAAAATTGAAATGTCTGTTTCACAAGAAGTATACCTGAGGGTGTTTTGTTAGGTATATACGCGTCATTTTTTGCCTCTAGGTAATCCCTAGAAAGGTTAATGTTTAAATTTATATTGTAATAAGGATTAGTTTCCATTATTAGTGTAATGAAATTGTACAAAGGGATTTATAGCGACAGTGCGGACGCAATTCGTCAAAGTTTTCGAGACATTTAGTGTCTCGGTATAGTACAATAGATGGTTCACCCAAGGAACGCTTCCTATTGATATAAACGTACAATACAAATGTTTTATTTACATTTTTTGGGATCCAGTAAACAGCGACCCAGTAACGCAAGCAATTAAATCGCGACACACGGCATTATGATCCGGTAAATACGGTATACTAATGTTGAGTGTTTGCCAAGTCTGTTCGAGAGAAAAACTCCATTGAAAGCTGACATGTGTACATATATATCGGATTTCACTGTGTCATTTAAATGCAATTCATTTTTATGGATTTTCATTTTCTTAACCGCCAAAACGGTGTCTGTATAGAGCGTATCAAAGCGACAGGTGCACGATACTGTCAGTAATTTTAAGACGTCTTTAAATAGATGAATTCGGATATGAAAAAAATCTGTATCAACATGGCATAGAACAAAATGACTTCGGAATTTATTTTAAGAAAGTCCAGAAAGAGTAATTGGGAAGTGTTGATCAACTCTTGGTTCAGTCGTCTCAGTTCAGTATGAAGGAACAAAAAGGGTAAGTTATTGAAATTCCATATTCTGTATAACGTCGTGGTAATAATACGGGTATTTAAAAAAAACTTGAGTATTAACTTTCACTAACAGTATGACTGGGGAAACACGTGCAGCTTTTATATCTAAATATCTTTATTTTTTTGATAGATATGACCTATAGCTAAAATTGAGATGTACAATCAATAATATAGACTTGATTTGTTTTACAACAATCACAATATCCTTTTACTCGAACAAGCTCGTTAATAAACTCAACTGCATTGCGTTAAGCTCGTTATTGAACCCATTGCATTGCGTTTCAATGCCTTACATTTGTAATCGGGTATCATAATCACTATATATGTTTATTACAAGATTCTACAGTACGTAGAAATCTCGCTTAACCGAAACCCTGCTACATAGGGGAAGAACAACGTGGAAACACGAGGTTGAGTTAATTCTTCACCCTTTAAACATAATTTGCAATTTGGTATCGAACGATTGCATTAGACAACATTTTACCGATTAATTAGCCCTCCCATTGTATTCAATTTATTTATGATTTAAATGGTAAAGCATTTATCGTAGGTCAAATGTAGATAAGAAGGAAGCAATGAAGAAGATAGAATTGTAATTAAAATACACCTAACTACATTTGAGGAAAAAAACAAAACAAAAAACACAATCCTAGACCTGGCTGATACGGAACAGCGGTGGTCTCACTTCATCACGGTCCTTGGTTCCTTCCGTGGTATCCGAAATCCTTTATCATGTTCTGTATCTACACACAACTGGCCAAGCTGGGTAGGCAGTGATTGGGGATATAACTGTGATCTTTACTGTAAAGATTGATGAGACTATTGACAAGTGTTACGGTCATCATCACGATATCTTTGGGAATATTCTATTCATTATGCAATATGAATAACGAAAATTGTGTCACAACACCAGTTTTATCTTTGAGGAAATGACATTACTTAGATTAGCATGGTGAATGTCGTCGACGCTTATCCTTCCGAAACACATGGTGTTCTCTTTTTAAAAGGATCTCCGTGTAAATCTTTCATTATTCGTATTTTATCATAGTGTTATTGACTTTGATTTCGAATAACGATTCTTCAAACAAAATCACATTTCATTAATCTCGTTTTCCTTTCAATTGGCCCTGTCCAACAGGTCTCCGCTTTATTCACTAGATAGAAAACTAGTTCGTTAAATTGGCCATATTCACGTTTTAATCCTGACTTTTCTGGCCAGGGATTCCACAGCCGTGTATAAGTCTGAAATCTAAAACCCCTGCAGACTAACTCTCTTGGCAGTTTCCGTATTTCCTCAAGGAAATAACCGAACCAATATGGCTTACCGAATTTGTTTTGACCTGACCCCACCGAGCTGTTATAGATTACGAGACAACATCACAGACATTGAAAGTAAATACGTTTATTGTCATAATAGACATGTTTCTGTATTCACGTTCAGATACATAGAAGTTACAGTTAAATATGCCTGGTTATACAGGTTACCGGATCATACATTGTTCGGTTTAGAAAGTTTGCACTGTATACATTGAACATCTTTCGCCTAAACTCTTTGAATTCTGAAAAGCAAAATCCGGAAAAAAATTGTTAAGAAAAAAAGCATACAGAACAGTACTGACCTGTATTACGTCAAAAAGGACATTGAACCAAATATTCGCATCCGGTTTTAATGGACCGCTTATGTCAACTCTTTGTGCACAACCTGTTTTAAAAAATGTTGTGTGACATTGAATTAATTCAAATCTAATATTTGTGTCGAAAATGATGTATTACGTAACTTCAACCTCGACACTTTTTTGTTTGGACCATGGAATCGCAATCTAATTCCGCGGTTTGGTCACGTCATTTTTTCTGCCTAAATAGTTAGCCTATAGAGCTATTTATCAAAGCCAATTTTATTGAAATTCAAGAAAGTAATTTGTAGTTTTCGTTTGTCTGCGCACTGTTTAACGATTGAAATAGAAAGATACAATAAGCAGGCGGTTTCTTACCGTATATATGCCCAATATGTACTACTGAAGTAGAAGATGAATATCATTTTGTTTTCATTTGTAAAGAATATGATTTCCTCCGACAAAAACTATTTAAACCTTATTACCGATGCAAGCCATCCGTATATGAACTTTTGAAATTACTTAATACAGAAAATGTTACAAAACTGTATAATTTTTTTATTTTTTTGTGTAAAGCTTTTGAAATTAGGTCACACCTCTTGTCTATGAAATGAGTGAATATACCTATTAGTGTATGGCTTGAACTTGACTTTGTATGACATTGTATTGTGCATAATATGTACATGTAATGTAATATCAATAAGCTGTATTGCTTTCGATAATGAATTAATTGAATAGTTGTTCTCTAGTTTTGTTGTAAAGTAAACATTGAAATTTTAATAATACGTTCTCTGTAGAAGAGGAGTTTGAAATTGAAACCACAAATATTTAAAATAGTTTTAAAATTAAACAGAAAACAAGCATTGAATGGAAACGGATAATCTGGTGTTAAGACGGAAGTTTGACAGGAACAGATGACTAAAGACCGGTATGGCATTACCGAGGTCACAAAACCAAATCTTAATCTGATGTAGGAGTTGATCGCGCGATCGGTTAATGACAAGTTCGGTGCATTGTTGATCAGCTTAAAAAACAAACACAAATAGCACAAAATGATATTTTGTTAATGTTTATATTGCCACTGTGAAATAGATATGACAAGAAACACAATCATATGAAAATGAAATGATCAAGACTTGTGCAATTAATTAAAATACAGATATGTTTTATTTTTTCGTAGTTAGAAAACGGGTCATCAAGATAACCAAACTTATACAACTGAAAGAGATGGACTTCATTGTATAAAGTTTTGTTAGCTTATTGAAAACAACAAGGAATATTCAATCAGTGATATTTTCATAATTAAAATTACTAAAAATTTAATTAAAATATTATGCCCTGATATTCACAATATCACCCTCGGGTGTACACCAAAAACGTTCATACTTCTGCATATATTGTTTTCTGAACTCAATTTGAATACTCGACCAAGTGTCCTCCGTTAAGCATTATTCAGTTGGAATCTACATGACGCGTGTGATACAGCATTACAATGGTGTGCTTATAACTGACATTTATGTTGGATTAATCAAAGAACGACTTTAATAGGTGTTATGTTTTAAGTATACATGTACAATGAAATATAACATATCTTATTATAGCTACATGCGAAATACATAAAAATATGGTTCTTATCATATAATACATATACTTATCTCGCTACTCTAGGTGTTGATAGTTTACAGTTCAATACCATAACATATACATAATAATCTGTAAGATATAACGGTTTAAATGTAAACTGGACTGGGACGATTGTTGGCGACCAGGTAGCTCAATTGGTAGAGCGTCCGTCTAAAATTCGGAGGGTCCTTGGTTCGAATCATAGTCTGGCAGTGAATATATCTTTTTCTCTTGTCACATGTATCCGGCCTTAAGGACCTACTAGTTCAGTTTAAATGTTTAAATCAAGATTCATTTGTAAACACAATAGATGAATCAAAAAATCACACTTCAGCTCGTATCAAATACAATGATCAGAAAGATGGTTATGGCGGAAAGTTTTTCATTTATAATTTGGTTAGGTCCTCATCTCGCCTGACCTATCCTCTTTATACCCTTAAGCACTCACTGGTGCAACGTTTCCATTTTATCCTGGCTTTTCCAGCGTACTCGCCTCTCACAAACCTCTCCATTCGATGCTTTCTCTTTCTATTTCAACTGATGGTAAGGTCCAACTCAGTGTTATTTTGCTTGGACTCGTCAGTTTTCCCCTCTAAATTGTTCATTCCTAACTTTATTGTCATACCATGTATTTATCTTATAAAGTGTACTTCATTAATCATCATCTATTCGAAACGATTTAGTGCACTGCAAATTTTATCCTCGTACTATATGAATTACCCTGTTTTCGTGGATTACAAATGTTTAAACCTAAGACGTAGAGCAGTTTGAGAAATTAAGAACGTGTCTCTTAAATTATAGAAATAAATAAAACTAATAATTGTAAAGATAATTCTTTATTTCAGCTGCTTTAATGATATACTAATTTTAACAAGTGTCATGTTTTTAACAATAATGCATTTGACTATACATTTAAACGGATTTTAAACTAAATAAATCGGTAAAAAAACGTGAAACTTAATTAGGGTTTTACCATGTTAACGTTTTCATTTAAAATTTACAAACGCAATTCCATAATAACAAGGCACTATGATAATTGCAGCTGTTCAGTACACTTCTGAGTAAAAATAGGTGGATTTTCGTGAAGCTCGAGGAACATGACTTTGACAATTATCATGTATAGATTTAAAACATGAACAAGACAACTTGTAAAAACTGTCAATGTGTGCTTGCCTGTTTAGTTCAATAATACAAAACTAGCTGAGGTGGTGCTAACTAAATACTTGCCATGAAAACTTAACGAGAGAAAGCCCGTTCAGTCAGTGTACAGACAACATTACACGAACAATAACACAAACAAGTAGGTTCACCCACGGAGATATTCAATCATGACAGGCAGGTCTATTATATAATAAGATAACTAGTGTAGGCGTCTGGTAACCTATATGCTGTATTGCATTTGGATATAATAAAACTTGAAACTTGGTCGATTTTACTAAACAATAGCCTGAATGACGATACTCATGTCAAGGTAATTTGATTTGTCAAAAAATTGGATATTAAAGTGTTCGCTAATAGGTATTCTTCCTTTGATGTATTCGATTTAGATATATGTAGACCTACTGGGTCCCGTTTCAAGTAAGCTTCGTGGACTTTAATATATAGTTTTGTAAAATGTATTTCCAAATAACATTTGACCGCCAAATATACTTGGAATTCGTGTAATTCTTGGACATAGTATCATGATCGTTTTGAATCCTTAGACATGAATATTTGTTTTTGGTTAAAAACATATACCCTGGTATGTAACACAAGTCCTAATATTAACCATGTGTAGTATAGTTATATAGTTATAGCTAATAAAAGCTGATGTCATTGAGTTTCTGGTTTGTTTCAAACGTTTAACTGACTATGAAAACTTACTTCCTGGTTTATAAACGTTAAATTGGCAATACAAGCGTGTTCCTTGTTTATCTGTTAACAAAAGTCTGACTGACAAGAAAACCCGAGATGCTGTGCTATATACGTTAGACTAACAAGGAAACCGAGTTCCTGGTTTTCAGAAATCCAATCCGACAATAAAACGAAGACAACTGGAAAAAGGCAAATGAGTCCGAAAGATTCATATATATTACTTTTTTTACTGTCAAAATATTTTGTATTGCTTTGTTATTGATTCTGTAATGACTATTTCATAATTAATTTTTCAGAAAAAACAAAAAGAAGAAAAAAGAGTTCCGACATATTGTCGAGCGCTTCCGGCAAATGCAACAACATGAAGAAGTTGCGCAAGAGAAAGAGTTCAAGCGGAGGCGCGATGGCCGGGAAAAACGAAAAATTACAATACAAATTGACAGAAGATTAGTGCATTACAAAAGGATATATGTGTTATCTACACTGGCTTTTTTAAGCGGTACTATAATGACATTCGGGAGTGTAGTCAAGGGATTAGGTGAGGGTTCAGTTCTCTGGACGTATAGATCCATCTTTATAATTTGCGGGCCGATCACCATAGGAGTTGGTGCGTTATTGTTGCTTGTTGCGACTGGTCTTGTGTACGAACGACAGACCAAGATTAAAAAACGAATGAACATGCGTGTATTTGATTTAGGAAGCAGTTACAACTCCAACAGTTTTCAAGGAGGAAAGCGAGGTTCTTGCCAGATAGACAGCTCTTCAAAACCATTGCTTTCGCGAGAAACATCCTCCTCCGGTTCAAGCACAACAGACACTTCCGGAAATGCATGTAACCGTGAGAAATACAGTTATAACAGATCCAGCATCGGAAGACAGACTTCAGAGAATTCGGAGATGGACGTTTATCTAGATTCTAGTCTTTCCTCTGGGGAATCCGCTGGATTGTCATTCTCGGCCAAATGGGCAGCTTTGGCGAAATTTCCAGAACAAAGAAATACAAATCAAGTCAAGCAGAACAGGGAATTAACAAAAAAGGCGGATACTTTCGCTTTTACATCAGAATGTGGGATGTTACCGGCAGTTGTGGTTTCTCCACCGGCACACTGTGTTGTTATAGACGAGACTCGTCAATCGAACGACGGAGACGTAGATAGCAAAAATGTCTTAATAAGGACTGGTAAGCAAACAAGTATCTAAATCAAAACATGTGTCGTCTGATAACAGAAAAAGGATGGAAAAGTTAAGATGCAAAATCGAATACGTGAAGAAGGATGATATAAATATGAATGTATTTGATTAGATATGTCTAGAAGTGTCGTTATATAACATAAGCATGGACAAACATGTTGATATTATTTTCCACGACCATATTTTCATTTTTTAGACTGGTTTGCCGGAAGGTCATCCAGCCTACTTCATTTTGCATAACACAAGACAATTTCGAAAATCACCATACAAATTTGAAGGACTGCTATTCCAGCATTGAAATGTGTAGCCGACTTGTTAAATTAAGGTTGTTAACGACAGTTTTTTCATCAATTATATGTGGAACAATTTCATGAAACTGTTCCACCTCCGATACCCGTTGTGTTTTATACATCGATAACAATTACAAGTGTACGAATCTAGATACTTTTCCTAATCATGACTGAATCGTAGTGTCGTCTGCTAGTCTGTTACGTGGTGACACAAAGAACTGCGACAACAGTATATAATTTTGTTGAGCTAGTAAATCGATTCCATTGTTTTACACGTGCATTTGAAAGACGTATCCGTATCGGTTATATGTCTATCAAATGAATGTTTACTTCTAGTCTCCAGTTATATATTTTCTTAAATCATTGGTATCAATTATTACAGTTTCTAGAATAGACCCCAAGGGTTATGAACATTGCGAGCAATAAATACCGTCCTGTTTACATAGAATTGCATGTGTCATCACATAGAACAAACTCTCAGACAGAGTAGTGTCATTCGTCATTCTTTAATCAAGTCAACGGGATTTGAAATATTATTTGGGGAACGTCAACTAACGGACAATACAAACTTAATCCCATATTTCTAAACATTTTCTTCAGGTTGGTAAGTATAGATTATGAAAAGTTCTTTTTTCAAAAAAAAAGAAGAACTTTAATTATAATGAATCCCATATTGTTGTGAGACTTCATGCAAGAGAGAACTTGACTTGTATGTTGAAAGCTGGTTTTCTCAACAAATGAATTAGGATATTAAAGAAAACAGTTTATGTTTGATTTCGTTTAACTTGGGGTTTTAACCATTCAGACTAATTTCAATTAGTAACTTCTTGGTCATTTCCGGTAAACATCGGAATAAACCAATCGTGACATCTCGGTCAATTCCGGTAAGCATTTTGAAAAGGGCAAATCTGTTTAGTTTGATGCATGCTGGGATTGACCTAGACGATATCTTTATCTTGAACATATATCTGAACTTATTCTCACTAAGTTTTCAACATCCTGATTACAAAGGCTTTTTTGAACGCCACCTGAATGGATGTAGACAGGATAAGCTTCGAGTATCTATTTGGCTCGTGTGTATCGTTCAACATGGCAGTGTACATTTTAGCTGGACATCGATAAAAATAAAGTCAGAACATAGAAATATAGTAATAGTTTGCTTAGTTTTTTCAAAAACTCATTTCATGTGGAAGATTTAAGTCAAATTAGTTTCGAACTGATTCTTTATAGATAGTTTTAAAAGGTGGCCACGGATGGTAAATACAATGTACATTCATTGAGCCTTCATTGGTCCATATATTCCCCTCACCTCCAATCGACTAGTGGTCTAGTTTAGCCGATTTTGACACCTGTTGACTAAGAGTGGTACTAATAACAAAATCAAACATTGTCCAGTTTGTAATTTTCATACTGATGTTAAAAAAAGCTTTGCTAGCTTAAAAAGGTTCTCAATGATTTCGACATTTAAAAATTTCGCGTAGGCTTATGAAACAATATGAAATGAAAATCAAACGTATGGAAAGTACAATGTATGGGCAATTGAGCCAATGTCATGAGACTTACAAATGTATATGCGGGTATACAGAACAGTCTTCTTAGGTTAATTACGACTTAACTTCTGTCTTCACATGAACAGTAAATGTACATATACTTATATACCCTACATATGTATACACCGAACTAATTACATGGGTAATTTAACAGGTAAAATATGTTTGACTAAAACGACAGTATTACTTGGGTTTCCCACTTGTTATATCCTTATACTTAAGCCCGATATTACTATTTGCACTGATAGCATGGCTCAATTCGGACGGACACACACACAACACAACAAATAAACAGAAGTGAATGTGAAAATAAAAATGGAAAATGAAAGAGACAATTTAAAATAACATGAAGACCGATTTTCCAGGCCTTTCTCAGCTATACAGATCTTAAGAATCTTGTGATTTTTAATTTCTTGCATAGATAAATAGTTACTTGAGTGTGAGATACATGTATTGATATCTATATTATCAATCTAATTAAAATCAGATATTAACATCGCTCCCGTTAACTGATATGTCGCGTGGAACCTATCAGTAAACGGGAGCGATGCGAAAATCTTATCTTAATTAGATTACGGTAATTATCATTTAAATTTAAAAACTCTTTCGCGAAAATCAACCATACCTTAATTTATTCAGACCACCTTCGGGGATATCAATGTTTTCATTTTTTTTTGTCTTACAGAGATTTGAAGACAAGAGCATTTCTTTTTTTTTGTAACCATGATGTAATATCGACGATAATTTTTCATTAAGTGCTGCAGGGAAGTCCAAGGAAGGCCGAGTAAAATGTCAAATGATGTCGGATAAATACTTCAATATTTAATACACATTTGATAGTTCAAGTTTAAGTATAACATCAAAATACCTAATTTGAAAAGAAAATATTTTGAACTTGCGATAGTTAACCCTTATGTCATCAGCTATGTATTGATCGTTGAAAGGAACAATCTGGGTTATCCGCTACTTAAATAATTCAGTCCAATGTATGATTACAAGAGATTAATGGCAGCCAGTGTTTGTTAGTTTGGCAAGTATTTATCCAAAGTTAGCCGTATCGACCTCGGTAAAACGGTCTCGGACTCACGTACTTCTTATTATACGTGTCGCGATAAAAAAAAACAAAAAAACTCATATAATAATGCTATGAGCTTGTGGGATTTTAATTGTATCTGAAGGACATGTACATAATTATTATTACATACAAAACAGATATTTCGAACGAGATATGCCTTGGTTATTTAAATCAACTTCCGGATTGTTTATGTCCATTTTTTTATTTTTTAAATAAATTATTTCCACATGGCGCTTTAGTAATTTGCATACATTATATAATGAACTTGCTATTACTAACTTACTGGATAAGTTTATCGGATATTATGTTGACTTGATTCAGGCTAAACAACTTTCCAGATATATGTCTCTAACATTTTTCTGTTTTATCTAAATTTCACACACGTGCCTGGCGCATTAAATTACAGAGAATATCCCGACAAATATATAAACATTACATTTTGTATAACCTCGTTATACTNCCCCCCCCCCCCCCCCCCCCCGACAATTTTGGTGTTATAAAGGGGTAAGGTTTGGCGATATTATCTATATATATTTCAAGGGAGACATATAAATGAATAGTTATGAAGATACGGTATCAATCTGATTAAAATCATCTGTTGCATGGCTTCGTTAACTTCGTACTACGCCTGAACAGACGGAGCCATGTAACAGATGATTTTAATCAGATTGATATGGTATTGGAAGTATGTATGTTGGCAGTATTATAAGCAAGGTGCCAAATGAAACCAGGGGCATTGTATCTAGGTTTTACTGTACAGTGACAAAGAGGGACATTATATTGAGGTCTTCCTGTACAGTGTCAAAAATGGGCATTATATAGAGGTTTTACTGTACAGTGACAAAATGGGCATCGTATAGAGGTTTACTGTACAGTGTCAAAAAGGGGCATTGTATAGAGGTTTTACTGTACAGTGTCAAATATGGGCATTATATAGAGGTGAACGTGTATACAAAGTGTAAAGGTATTTTTAGGTGAAACTCAATGCTTTGAAATTAATGTTTAACTTAGTGATTGTATTCTAAGATATCCATTATATTCGGTGAGAATATTAACTTCATGCATGATAAAAAAAATCACGAGATTGCTATTTAACACTATCGCATTCAATATTCTGTTTCCCCCGTTAATTATATAACCCAAAATTAACTGTGACGTCACAACACTATGCGTGAGACAGAGCTTGAATTGAAGGTACTAAATACAAATTTGAGTTTTACATAGGAATCAACTGATGCTAGTATACTGGAGGACAGCTTGATGTGTGGAAAACGAAATTTACAAGCAAAGTTGCATGTAGGTCGTCAATTTTGTTTTTGTAATCTTTTCCGAACGGACATCGGCCGGAGGGCTCCACAATGGCCGGTTCACGGACAGTGACAGCACGTTGTACATCAATCAGATGACCATCGTGTCCAAATCCAGCACCTCAGGCGGTCATCAACCAGGTGTTAATTAATCATGCACAGGTAAAAATGGAGATATGCGAGCTACGAGTGTGTTAGTCTCACCTCGGTGTTATTTTACGATCTACGTAATATACCGTACAATACCTAATAAACGTGTATGTTTGATAAACACAGGCCAAGTTCGATACATGGCACATTATGTCTGTTGTAGAATTATCTGCCTTGATAGACCCTTTCCAATTCATGTAGAGTCAACATCAGTATATACAACTATACAATCCGTAGCCTTTTCTGTGTAGAAGATTATATATAGGCGCACTGTCGAGAAGAACATCTTTTCTTTTCCTTTTTTAACTTCTGGTTTATAGTATAAGATACAGACTATGCTTGTTGTGGTGATTTGGTACGCGTGTTAGACCTTGCCAGGTGTTTTATCATTACCCCGTGAATGTTATGTGGCAGATCGAGCATTGCTATTTGTGGTCAGGTGGTGCAGTGGATAGCGCACTTGCCTTTCACCAAGGCGGGCGGGGTTCGATTCCCCGATCGGACGTGAAGAGGTATGGGGTCACCTGCCCGATCACGTGGGTTTTCTCCGGATATTTCCTCCCACAACAAGAGTGATTTATATAAGTTGAAAAACTTGATTCATAATTGTTGTAAAATAAATAAAGTGTGTATTTATTTGTGGTCGAATGAACAATAATGTGTTTGCGTTTTTTCCGAGAGGAAATTACATATATAAAGATATCGAGTGTTTAATTACCAATATGAACTGACCATTTTTTTTGTAGTTGGATTTTGATACATTGTTCTAATATTTACTAATTGTACATGGCACTGGTTTATTGAAGCTAAATATTAAATCTTTCACCAACTTGGTATCCTACTTTCCAACGTAAGATCGTGGAAGGTAATTAAAAACTGCCTACAACACAATCACGGGTTTTGCTTTGTGATCTGCTAAGAGAATCGAAGACTAAAAGTATGCATTGTCCTCATTGCAATAGTGGTTTTGTATGATTGATTTCTCCTGTTTTCTCTGCTTTGGAGACACAAAGAAAAACTAAATCGACCTGCTGTTCCTATTGCAAATGCGGAGATCTCTGTAGATTTACTTCTTCCTTAGCACACGTACAAAACATGTTAATGGGGTATCTATAATATACCTTAACTCATCTTTGTGATTATATTTTAGTCATTGATCTTATGATTTCAAATTAAATAGCAATGTTCTTCCGCTTCCGTCCCCTATAGGTAGTGCGTGTACGTCAGTGAGTGGGCGGGGCAGGGGTGTGTTCCTTTCATGTCATTTGCTATATATATATATTTTAATACGTAAAGTTTATTTATTTTTCAACAATTATGACACGATTTTATTTCAACTTATATCAATCACCCGTGTTGGCCCGGATACTAGCGCGGGGTCTTAATGTGGGAGGAAACCGGAGAAAACCAACGGGAAAATCCACCCCCGGGCGTCTTGATGAAAGAAAAGTGCGCTATCCCATGTGCCCTGTATTTTTTCTGTATAACACACCATATGACGTCTTTCTGACATTTTGCTCAGAATGTACCGTCGCTCTTCAAGAAATGGATAACTTCATTAAAAATATAAATACTCGCCACTGGTGATAGGCAAATGTGTCGGCATGGGAGGGTTAATGTAACGTTAACAACCGTATGGCATATTTAAAACATTTAATGAGACATTCATATATGTATATAGGTAAGTCAATGTAACGTAATACAAAATGAGAAACAATCAACAATTATATGTACATTGTATATAGTTTTCTTAACCTCTCCGAAAAAAAATGTATCTCTTTCATTTCACTTGCACTTCTTTCAAAAGTCTGATTGGTGTGGAATAACGTACATCTATACTAATTAAAATGATCCTCTTTGTTTGGGGGGGACATCACTATTGGTGATCTACCTCATACCAATGCTAATGTAGTTGATAATGTAGTAGTTAATTTATGGAAAAGGCTACTTTTTGCATTTGAATTCTTGTTCTTCTATTATCCACCCCTACGCCCCACCCTCTTTCACAATTTTACATTCCCTTTTTTTCTATATTTTAACTAAGAAAATGTGTTCGGGCTGTATGCTACCTGACTGTGGTATGCCTTTTCCAAAGAGTTCCGAATTAACAAATATGTACGATATCTTTCGATTGACTATCGATACATTTGAAGGGCATGCTTAGATATTTACTAGATCAGTCTGGAATATTAGATAGTACACGTTTGTTTAAAGAGAGATAACTTTAAATAGATCATAAGTATTGTATATCAGAAAGCATATATATACCCTTAAGTAATCTGTAAAATATTTTTTCATAATTTTCTCCTTGAAGAAATTTTGATCAGTCGTCATACTTTCTTTCCCTTCGTGAAATCAGCACACATGTGGCTTCATTTGGTAAAACTCTAGACTCCAACACTGGTCAAACACAAGCTCCAGTCTTTACCGATTGGACGAATGGCAGTAGATTTGACGCCCCGATAGAAAATGTCACTTCCGTCACGATTTATGGTTGTGGACAGTTGATCGTCGTACACTGCGCCTGTCGGACGATAAAAAAATATATGTTAATATATATATACGTGTGAAGGTGTCTGGTCATCAGAAATGCATACCGACCGTGTCCAGCTTGCCTTGCGTGACAAATTGGCATAATAATTAATCGTATATATATGCCATCGATACTATGTGTTTAGGCGTTTTATTTGAGCAGCATACATGTAAAAGGAACCCTTATTACCCGAACGATCCCTTCCATTTGGACATTTTCTCCACTCTACCGACCCAATACCTTTCCTGCTCTACTCCACCCCTGACATATTTCTCATGAAACATTCTTTTTATCTCTACCCCATCGTCACAGTCCTCTCCCAAGGGACGCGATCCCCAACCTGAGAACGCTACGTTGTTATAATACTAACCGTGCCCCTGTTTTCTCCCGTCTGCTCACAGGAGCAGACGTTCCCACAACTATCCGTCTGCCGAGACTGGCCCTCAGGGATAAAGAAGTTCCTCACGCGACAACCTGCAAAAATGGACAACGGTCAAATGTAAACAAGATGACAAGCATAATTAATCAATCGATAACAGTTAGTTAACGTGTACCGCATCACATTCATGTACAATATATTGAAACAATATTTCATTGAAAAGAGAATTCAAAATATGTTTATAAAATTAAAATGCGATGCCCAGCCATATTTATTAGACACAGTTGTCTAATCGTCACAAATCATTGCAATTGATAAAAAAAATGTTTCTTAAAAAAATGAACTTTTTTCATAGAAAATATTGCAATTTATATTACACAACAACAATTAACTAGAAATAATTTATCCCTGGAGTTATTATATTAGAGGCAACTTAGAGGTATATTATATTGAACATTAGTTTGACAGTACACTGAATACTGGAAATACACATTACAAAATACTGTCTGTAAGGTGAAAATGGTGTTTTTAAGACTTTAAATATTATGGCAAAGTATCATGGAACAATTCGGGTACTTGTGCCATTTACCGAGAAAAGATTTTATAAACTAATAAAGATTCCGACCTGAAAAATATACTTGAATGACAAAACAATTAAATGTCTATTGCTAACTTGCATGTAACGTAATTAATGAGAAATGGAGATTTAACTGTCTGTATGTACATGCAGCCTACACACACTCGCACCAAACCAACTTATAACTACCTCACCAAACATTTCGGTTTACGTCATCACTTTTGGTGTTGTACTTATAAAGATGATTTAATAGTGGTTTTCACACGACGATCGACTTTTTTCTCACTATACAGTAAAATCTAGAAAGAGTCAACACCAAAAGGTGTTGACGTCGTATATCGCAGTATTTGGTACAGCACTGATAGGCTGTCATTAAAGTTTTTACCAAAAGCGATGACGTAATATATCACACTGTTTGGCGCGGTATTTGTTATTTTACATGTAAGTTCAGTTTGGCTGAGCAATGAAACACAACACAATTTTGATCCACTTATCAAACTGATGCATTGAAACAAGAATGGGTTTTGAAAAATTTAAAGACCCTTTTAGGCTATAGTAATATAACGTCATTATTCTGTCAAAGACGTCGTTTTGTCTGATATTCCCGTCTGATTCAAGATTTTGGGAAGGATCTTGAACATTAATACGGGATAATGATGAATAATGTTTTTCGGAGAAATAATACGCATATAAACAACACGTGTAGGTATGTTATAAAAGCAGCACCACACATTATGTGTCCATCTCACGTCTCCGGTTGCACGAATGTATTTCGCGTATGGGCATATTTCCGAGGGCTTTAGCTCGAGTGAAATAAATTTAGTTGTGCAAGAAACGCGTGGTATAGCCCATTTCTTATAACCTGATTACTTACCTGCTTGACATCGACACTCAAGTGATTCGAGATACATGGCACAAGGATACTCCCCAGCAAACACACATTGTTGACCGCCCTGACATCCGCTGAGAAAAAAAAGAGTTTCAGAGATGTCACACAAGTTTAAACAGGAAAAACAGAGCGGTCAGCGAAATCTGATTGGGTTTCGTTCCTTCAACTTTTTTTTTTTATATAATATACAAATATATTAAATGCTATTTCGAATACACCCGACTTTGAATTTATTTTGACTGAAAAAAGGTATTTGAATATAATAATTAATTCAATTTATTTTCTTAATCAACTTGGAGGGTTTTCCCCATCCAAGGTACTTCCTTCGCTCCCTAACAAAAACACGTTTGTTCTAAAATAACTTTTCTTACTTCAGATCTACATTTGTGTATACTTATACAAGATAACACATGCTAGTAAATTTCGTTGAACTGACATTAAGGTTAGGGTGCAAAACCCGTTATCTAGAAATACTGAGTGAAAATGCTGGTAGTGCCAAAATTAATTATCTAGTTTTCGTTACCAATGTATGTGCTTTTTCTATCCAATACAGGAAAACAAAACATATTTCAATGAAAATGTACTTTTGATTATTTAAAGGGTACGGCTGTGTTGTAACTGTTATGTACCAATTGCAGTGTAGACAGAATTGATTATGCTACATGCCCCCATTAAATAAATCTCGGACTTTGGTAAGGCTACTTCCAGAGTATTAGAACATACATGTAGTGCTTGTAGCCTGCATTATTAAATATGGTGAGAATAATTTCCTATCAAATCGTCCGACTTCTAAAACCTCACTATTAAACCCCGTTCATTCGATCATTAAATAAGATATTTTTGCTATTATTTCCGCTTTCCCCCCCACCCTGTTAGAAGTGACCTTCAAGAAAACATGAAAGTTACTAAAGGGCAAAATTACTTACGTTGCTTGGCATTTAGACCCTACAGTTGTTGCTGGGAGGGTGTTTGGATCCACAGCTCCTGTATCCGTCGTACCAATAGTTCCAATAACGGCTACATCTGGGGAAAGTTCGGTTCCCTGGATTGGGACGCTGGCACCTACAGGGTCTACAACCGGGACTACAAATTCTGCCCCGGTATTTACCAGAGTGTTGCCTGCCCCGGTATTTACCAGAGTGTTGCCAGCTATAGTCTGCCCTGAAGTCGGATCCTGGAAGGAGCCAACACCGGTCTCTCCTCCCATCATTCCTATTGGTGCAGCACCATCACCACCCATAAGAGTAAATCTGTTTGCGAAGCTGTTTCCGGCAGCAAGTACCATATTGTCTTGATTTCCATCTGGCTGAACATTGCTTGTTACCTGCGTTCCTAAACTGTTAACCTGTGCCAAAGCTGGAACGCCATTATTCAATAGAAATTGATTTGAAAAGGTGCCGGCTGTGACCCCACTTCCGGTAAGAGTGTTAGTACCGCCGATAGTGTTTGTAGGTGTTGGAAGTACGTTTCCCGTATTTGGTATCGTTCCTGGAAAGCCGGTATTTACCGATCCAATAAAGCCTGGTTGCGGAAAGCCGGTATTTGGTATTGGTCCAGGAAAACCGGTGTTCGGAATGGGCCCGGGAAAAACATTATTCACCGGTGCAGTAAAGCCGGTATTAACGGTTGCAGGAAAACCGCCTTGAATTCCCGTGGGAAATTGACTGTTTGCGGGCCCCACCCCTTGAGCTATCGCTCCCCCGGTACCAGCGTTCGCAGGACTGAATGGGACGTTCCCAAATGTATTGGAAGTCTGGGTTACCACTCCCCCGGGGCGTGCGTTTGTGGTGCCGAATGGGAGATTTGCAATTGTATTCGTTGTCGAACCTACATTACCAGTGTTTGTTGTTCCAATGCCTAAATTGGGGGGTATTCCCGTATTTGCGAATCCATTTCCCTGTATAAAAGTGTTTGTCGGAAATCCCACATTTCCATTATTCAAAACATTTACAGGTGAAAACGGTGAAACAAATGGATTTCCGTTGAAGATAGCATTGCCTTGTTGGGAAAAAATTGGCCTACCTCCGATTCCTGGACCACCTACCAGCGGTGGTCCGAAAACATTGCCTCCAATAAATGCTGGCCTGCGAAAAGGCGGCATGAAATTGAATGCACCGAATCTTGGCGGACCAGGAAATCCTCTTATGAATCTGGGCGGAGGGCCTCTCCGAGGAAAGGTCCGGAACGGGGGTTGACCGTTAGTTGTGGTGAAAATTGAAAGTAGGATAAAGCACAATCCTAACGAGACCATTGATTTCATCATGGTTGCTGCTAGATGACTTGCCTGGTCCTAGTCCGAATGAACACTACTGGTCAAGCACTAAGTTCCTGTCCGACCACTCGCACGCCCTCCTACGTAAATGATAACTAAATAACAAGCTGGTTGTGATGAATAGCAGTTATGGACTATTAACTTATTGATGCCTATAAAATCGTTAACTCTGCTGGATTGTCCTGTAGTCAGATAACACCTGCAGGCTGGTGTCCGAAGTGACAGATTAATGACCAATGGTCAATTACCTGGAACAATGATCGTTTTCTTCTTCATAGAGTCGGTTTGTACAATACTGTCGCTGTCAACTATACACGATGCTGCAAGCCCCTACTGATATGTATATATATATGATACTACTTCTGCGGTATACGTAACGTAATATAGCATGCCGACAAACAGGTGAAGAGGAGGTATTTATTGCATTGATTTATACAGTTTACTCTAATATCTTGACCGGCATATTTCATTCTATCGTTCCAACACGATTTTTTTACCACAATTGGGGAAAACGCCCTAATAGGTTAACCGCGCGTGCCAGTTACGAACATCAATAACTCTAACATATGGGGCATTTTAACGGGGAAATTAGTCAAGTTAGTAAAGAAGGATATCAACCCGGTTAGCTCGGATTTCATAAAACTAGAATCACAAGGTTGTCTGCTTCTGTATCGAGTCTCATTTATTAAATTACAACTTTTAATCTACGAAAGCTTCATCATTACTTCACTACTAAACTTTGTTAAAACCTTGGAAAAAATATATACATGTACTGTAATTGAAATAATCACCGTCTAATGATTGGCACACAAACCTTGTATATTTCTGCAGATGCTTTGTGATGTGTCAGTTTTATAATGTGAACTTCACTACTGGGACTTGGACTAACTCTGTCAGTGGTACACTCTCTTCAACAACGAACCCAAAAAACCCAACAAGAGTAGAACTCACGTGGCAAAAATTAACAGGACTCTTTATATATTACTGTATTATTACTCTAAAAATACTTTTAGATTAGTATAGTTCGCGAGACTTATATACAGTCAAATCTGCTCTAGCGACCATCTGTTTTATATGACCTCTTTTCGTTCCTCCCGAATGTTAGGAGTTCGTAATTTAACTGTATTGACTATTTAACTCTATAAGCGACCAACTGTCTAACGCGAACAGCGACCTTTTTTTTCCCACAAAATCTATCAAACGATCGTTTTGACGATACGACCGTCATCAAGTTTGACGAAGGGTTTCTTAACGATCGTTCAACAAAATTCAGTAAACAAATCTGACGAAAACAATTTCCCAACTTATAATAAAGTCAAAATGTACAATTTTAATATAACCGGTTAGCCTTACTATACCCATATTTGTACGAAAGAACCATTTTCAAACACAAACTGTGACGACACTAGATTTCTAGATTAAGTCGACTGTCTGACTAGTGATTTTTTTTAAACCATAAAAGTGGTAAAATCGGTAGAAAAATCAGGATTACTGGTCAGACTTGTTCAACCGGACCGTTAAAATCAGCCGACATTGTCAAACAAGTTTCGGTCGATCATTTGTGGCGCCGTATTTTTTTCGCGCTCGGTCGTCGTCACACTATCTGTCACATAACAACAAGAGAAGGCTGCCAGAAAATCGGATTATGTATGCGAAGATTTGGTAGGTGATGAGACATTTGCCAGCCGGTACAACTTTTACTGACCATTTTTTTCAGCAGGCAAAAATTTCAGCAGACGAACAGTCGGCTTTAGACCTAGGAGCATACACGTTGCTCGCGATGCACTATAAACTGTTGTTTCCTTTGCTGAGATAAGGGCATTTTTCAGTGTCATCAAAAATGGCATTGAGGTCGACAGTGGTACCATCATTATGCATATCATTATGTGACGTTATTGGTTCATTTTCCTTCATTCCATTGTTACTGCTGACCTATGTTCAGAAACTCGCCATCATACCATAATTCAGATGAAGTAAACATAATAAAACATCCTTCCTTCTAAACTACAGATGGTAAGATTTTCGAACAAAAGAAAGCACCTGTTGCCCATCCTCGATAGTCCAGGGGTTACGCTCACTTTCGCTCTCTGCAGCCCTGAATATGTCATAACAAAATGGAAGGCTCGGTCTGTGACACATTATGGATGAGACGAGAAGACTAGTTTGCCAGCATCGATAGCATCTGTGCTGTGATGAGTCTCGTGATAACGTTGATACTAATAATAAGTATGAATGGATATTGATTGACAGCTAATGTCGTTTAAAGACTACCCTTATGTGTGTGTTGTATGCGTGTGTGTTGAATGCGGTCTGTTGGTGAATTTGTTTCTTTTCGATAGCGCAGAACTAAATCCGACTTTAAAGTGCTACCTCACTAGAATACAATGCCGAAGGCACCAAGCAAAGTAAAACAACCGGTCACATACGACTACCAACCAGTTAACGGGTTATCCAGTCGTTTCGCTTACTCTAAATGCTCATCAATCCAAACAGAATACAGAGTATTCGGTTCATAAGATTTAGCTTCCTATTAACAGCTTAAGTCATTGGAGGACATGCCTCCATGTGGGTTATATATGTGTGTGTGCGGGAGGCGGTTTGTTGGTGTGTTTGCCTCCTCTCGATAACGCGGATCTGATGCCGAACTTAGAGTGCTACCTTAACAAAATATAATGTCGACGGTAAAATTACACGTATAATATACAGACATCAGACACATCCTCGAGACTTTAAAAGAAGGTAAAAAAAACCCAGTAGTGATGTCATTGATCATCATACGCTAAACACAACACAAATGTGGTTATAAAACCCCAAGGATTGCCTTCTAACATGTTTTCATCATTTGTTCATCACATATATAGAAAACAATGAAAGTTATGTGTCCTTTCAAACCATACGATATACATACAGACGACCAACATTTTGTTGTATTATCCTGGAACGGTATTTGAGAGAATAAAATATGTTATTTTGTTTGAAATTCCATTTCTATAAGCATCATTCTGTTTTAATGCTGTGAAATGTCACTGCTCATCCGATTATTGAAATATATCAAAATATCTCTTGCACTATTTATCAAAACAGGATTACAACAGGGTTCTGTTCTTGATCCATTACTTTTTTTATTTTGAAAATGATATTGCGCCAATATATTTTCAGGCTTCGTCGCGTATTTTTGCTCACAATACGTCTATCATATAGTCTTGTCTATTTTGCCATGTAAAAGCAACTGACATAAAGTATTATTTTAGCAAAGCAAAAAAAAATATGGCACTCAATAAACACTTTGGCGTGCTTTTAAGTAGGAATTGGTATATACACTTCAATAATGTTAGTAATTCTGAAATTGAAAAAAGGAGCAGTGTTCTCAGATAATTAAAATATAGCCAAATTGCAGAAAGGTAGGGTCAACGCCAATGGAGATTTAACATTAGCATCAGCCCGGCTTGGATATAGGAAGCCTAAATTTGGACCAGTTAGTTTCAGAATTCATTTGATGACAAATGGGAACTCATTGACTTACACATGTGTCGGTGTTAAAGGTGCGGTAATACAATTCCTCCTAGAGCATTTAAATGACACAATTACTATAAAAGTGTATCATCATTGTGTGCAACATATTCCAACTGTTATTTTGATACCAAATATTACACTATTTCAAGAAAAAAATGTTCTTTTTATTGAAGATTTAAGCAGAAAAGTATATGAACTTTTCATTGCTAATGAGAGAATACCTAATTTGGACACGTTAATTTGCATAGGTCTAATACGAGCCTACTTTTCATACTTGCTTAAAAGTTGGTTTTCAATTCTATCTTTCAACATCAGGAATTCTAAAAAAATGACAAAAGGTTAATATGTCATATAACATCTTTGATTTAAAAAAAGAAAAACACAGATTTCATTCCACTTTTCCTTTAACTTGTGTTTCTTCACAACCAAAAGTCAGTGGGTCTTGTTATTTGGCAAGTAGGTTTTTCATGTGAATGGATACAAGTTTTGTAAAATTTGGTGACCTTGACCTTCGTTCAAGGTCACAAGAATAAAATGTGCTAAAATATTTTTTTGTATGGGGAGGCAGACAAGGATATCTTTCCGTGATTCATTTGTTTAGAATAAAAGATATAAAATATCTTAATATTCCTTCATATTTAATTTAATAAATGGGCAAAAGACAAAATAAAATAATGATCAAGTGTATATTAGTTTTATTTTTAAGATTATTTTATTGTTTTTATATATCTACATAATGTTGTCTATAACACAATCTCAATCTTAAGTAGTTCTCCAGAGGAAAGCTTACTTTGTTATGAGTGCGTAATATAATAAAATGTTTTGATATGATACAAAAACAAGAAATGTATCGGTATTTACCATAATAAACATTGATAATCAAATCGTCATGATTATGTGAGATCGTGCATTGGTCATATTTGGCATGCTATGAAAGTATTTTACCGGAATTGATATAACAAAACAATGATTCTGTAGCCGGAATATATACATGGAAAGTTTTTAAAGAAGGATAAAATATAGACTGCCATTGTAACTATATATAGGCAAGTTGACAATGTTGGATATATTTCAAAGTTTGTGAAAAAGTTTGCATAGTTTTCTAATTAAAAGTATCACTACGCTCACATGTTCTTCATGTATATCAATATAACATATTTAGTATCAAAATAACAGTTATTCTATACACTATACACTGTCATAATTCCTTTTCAAAATTGTATTCACCTGTTATATTTATCTGTCATTTTGTTAGGATGCACCCGTCACTCAACCTGGTGTTATGCAAGGAGGTCCACTACGGTTATCAGTCGTAAACCTTTTTATATGCTCGCAAATGATTGTGTGGATGTATACATATTTGGAATCTGATTTACGTTAGCAATGCTTTCTATATACTACTTCTGGTCTTCCGTCATATGTTAATAAATTTGCAAATCAAGAAAGGAACTGGTTTAAAGCTTTAGTTTTAAAGCAGTGAAATTAATTAATGCATACTTTATAGACGATTTCACATCCTACTCCCTGTTATCGATAATTAACTAACAATAAG